CCTTTGTAGCAACAACACACACAGTCTCCTAGAAATTAAGCCATTTTGCAGATAAATTCAAACTTAAATTATGAAATGTAATAATAGCTCTCTAGTCGAAAACCTTTAGTTTTCTTTGTGAGGAGTTAAGGCCTTGACACAGGAGACGATGTCACTCGTTTTTTATTAATTTGCTATTTAACTTGTGAGACCTGCAAAATTCGTCGATCCCATGTGACGAGCCCAATTTTAATGCAGAGAAATTTGGAGATATTTTAAAAATAAATAAATAAAGTAATGGAAAATGTCAGAAATGTTTAGAAAAAATATCTTATCAGTGGTGTAGTAAGAGTAGAGCTACTTCAGTGTACTTTTACATTAGTAATCGTGATTAGGAATGCAAATTTAGCATAGTATGATCAAACAAAACCACATCGACCTCTTCAGCAACTCAAACAATGTCAATACCGAAATAAACATCGGTTCTTCACATCGACCCAGTTACACCTATCGGACATAATATCGATATGTTAAAAATAGCTACCGTAAGGAAGACACCGATATATCGTTCCTCCCCACTCATAGCTGACATGATGAATCCAAGGCTTTCTCTGAATAACCCCCACTCACATTAGCAGTCATTTCTATTAACCCACTCATTACTTGCAGCAAAACTCTCCAAGAACCTACAGTACATGCTCCTGCGGAACAGCAATAATAGCAACAGTCTGATTTAAGCGAGTGGCGTTTCCAGCTGAGAAAGCCATTTATTGGAAATGAATGGTGTCTTTTAAAGTCCGTGCGCTCGGGGTGCAGAGTGCAAACAGAAGCAGCGTGGTGCCAGGGGTCACGGTGGGAGAAAAGACGCGCTGTACCGACTTCGGCCGCCTGAAATGACGGCGCTTTGCTCCGAGTTTCACAAGAAGAACGTGACCGAGGGATCAGACGGCGCGCGCCTTTGCGTGTATGCAAAACCGGTGAAAAAGCGAGGGGAGAGAGAGATGGGGGGAAAGAAACCTAATGTGGACACGCCAAAAATGAGACGAACACAAATCAAAACAAAGCACGCAAATACAAAAGAGATCCAGAGAATGAGGAAGACGGAGAGAACAGCGGAGTCCCATCTGTCAAACAAATGTGAGGATGCTCCGAATTCACACACACACACACACACACACACACACACACACACACTCTCTCTCTCTCTCTCTCTCTCTGATGTTCAGAGTAAGCACCGTTTACTCTGAACTTGAGCGATATCTGCATTTGTCCTTTAGCAGTGGCTCCTCGGGGGCCACTGCAGAAGTTGCATGGAAGTTTGTTTAGAGCTGAGCAAGTGTGTTAAGCTTTATGAGAGCCCACGGGAGACTCTGTGGCTCACACACACACACACACACACACACACACACACACACACACACACACACACACACACACACACACACACACACACACACACACACGCCAACATGCTGAATGAAGCTCAGGCACGAGGCTTGGGCGGCAGCTCGCTGTGGCCCCAACCGACGGTGAGGGGTTTGTTGTCATAGCAACAGTAAAATGAGATGACTTTACTGTCAGCCGTAATGTTTCATGGCCCCCTTGCCGCTATGGCAACATAACAAGGAGGAGGAAGAGGAGACGGGAGAGAAGGAGAGCATCAGAGGCATCTCTGCATTCCGGTGGACTCCAACCAGGAACAATGTCACTGCGACGTCCTTTCTTCCTCCTCAAGACAAACGCAGTCACAAACACACCAACCACCCCGACCAGCCTGTCAGAAACAGGCGTCAACACACACGCGCGCGCGCGCTTGCACAACTTCCGCCTCGCCCATCGCTTTGATTTTTTTTTTTTTTTTGCCCGCTCACTATTTTCAGCGCCCGCGCCGTATCGTCACCGGGCCCCAATTTGAATTCATTACGCTCAATGTCAATATTGGTGCAACAACGGCGCACCTCGAGACAGGTACAGCTTGTTGAATGAGCGCGCGCGCTTGTCAGACAGCGGGAGAGGCGAAACGAGGAAGAGGAGGAGAGGTGGGGGGGGGAGGGGGGGAGGAAGGAGATCAAAGAGCCGCGCCGACTCCTGCTAAGCGTTTTTCCCCATCCGCCGTGGAGACGGCGGGGGACGCAGCGGAGCGGAGGGGCGAGTGACTGCAGGCCGGCCGCGGCTATATGCGGCGGCCGCGCATCACATCTATATTTAGCTCAGTCCTTCCACGACGGGCTGTCAACGCCGCTAAGCAGCGATCTGCGCTGATAAAAGTGTGAAAAACAGAAGATGGGTGGAAGAGGAGCAGACGCATAGGAAGGAAAAGAGGAAAGGTAAAAAAAAAAAAAAAAAGGCAGGCAGACGAGAGTGAGTTGTTTTGCTCTGTCGCCATGGCGACGTGGCAGCCGGAGCTGTGGCGCGCTGACAGTTGTCACGCTGCGGCCGGTCGCCGTGGGTGACAGCTGTCAGTCAGCGGCGCGGAGTGACGGGCGGGGGGGGGGCAGATCGGCCGATGATCACCTTGGATTTGAGAGCGATCCAGCATAGAGAGACGGGCCAGAACATACCAAGGCTTAATCCTCGTGTCCTAATGGTGCTGCTGTGAGCGGCTGTCCCCGTGTACATCCATCCATGCACTGGTAAAACAAACTGGTAGAGTTCGACCCGAGTGAAGGGTTGGCCTCTTTCTGCAAGTTAAATACATTTCATCTGCTTGCTTGAGTGCATTTACGCAACTTCTCTGCGTTGTGCGTCGTTCTGTTCAGTGTGCCCCTCGTTTTTGTCCTTCCACCGAAATAAACAAATCAAAATCCCTGGCAACCACAGGTTGCAGTTCCAGAGAGTCAGAGTGGACTCTTGTCTTACCCCTTGTTGCTTCACCAGCGAGTTTTCCCCAAGCTCCCAGTTCATTGATGTTCATAGAATTAGCACATGCAGTTCGGTAAATATCACAGTACTAAAGTCTTTCAAAGTAAACAACTACTTAACTAAAAGTTGCCGGTGCTTCTCTTCGAATGTGGAACCCATGCAAATGTTTCAGCTATGGAAAATAAATACGTCTATTATTACACCAACATGTATTTAATTAAGAAAGTTGCATCTGTCTGCATCTGCTGTTTTGGAGTTTTTCAGTATCATCTTAACCTCCATGGTGTGAAACATTTTCTGCTGCATCTAATGCAAACACCGCCAATCATTTTACAAATATGAAGATTATTTATTAATCGATGAGTCAAGTTTATTTTTAGAATAGAATAGAATTCAACTTTATTTGTAGAACACATTTCAGCAACAAGGTAGTTCAACATGAGTAAGAAGTCATAAAAACAGGATACAGTCAACAGTTAGCTATTTGTTGCTGTGCTCGGCTGTTTGTTTTTCAATTGTTGAAACAATAGTTACAATTCACAACGTCTGAAATTGTTGCGTCCCGATTTACTTCACATCCAGTCTGCGTAAAAGACAAGAGAAAGTGTGACTTAAAGATGTCGCGTTAACTTGTTGGCTTCAAATTGAAATTCTTTCTCAAACACACAGACTCCATTCATGGCAAAACAGCTTTGTTTAAATGACGTCTTGCTATTTTGCGCACCGTGTTCCAGCCGGGTTCTTGTTTGTGTTGCGCAACGCTCTCACCTTCCGAATGTCAATTGCAAATGCTAAGTGCTAGCAGCATAACGTTCAGTTCTCAAATACGGTCATTTCGGTCGGTGGGATTCCATTGATCGTCCTGAGGACGAGCCGGAAAAATAAATTTCGCACCAATCTGGCACATATCTGACGTGCGAATCTGTTTGGGGCAAAGGTGCCAAATCCCTTCACAGAAAAACTGAAAAGGTGAACACAGAAGCTATAACTGGCTGGGCAAAGTGAGAGTTTATCTAGTAAATTGGCTAAATATGAATACATAAATGAAAATCAGAACTATAGACGCTTCTTAAATTATTTTCTTTGTGAACCTGCTGTCTGCCTACGCTAAAAGTAAACAAATGATCAAACTGTTTATGTAGGATTTGTCTGTGCAGTAAGCCAATATTTTGTGTATTGAAATTCACAGTTCCTTGATCGTAACATAAATATTTCATTGTTTAAACTGAATGCCAGGCAAAACTCCCTTTTTACAGCGTATGTGCTTTAGCTTTCATTCATGTTTGCGTGGGTGTGGCTTTATGCGTAGACGCACGCGCATGTGTGTGAGTGTGTGTGTCTGCTCTCGGGCTCCGAACGCGTAGAGCAGATTAGGTTTTAGCTGGAGCTGCTGCCGGGCGCCTTCCCACAGCTGTCTGCGCTAGAGGACAATCAAAGGCCCGGTTGCGCGCCTTCTTCTGATTGTGGTCTGACGCTCTGGTCCGTTCCCCTTCAATTACCGCGCTCTGCCTCCGTGTAACGAGCTCAGCATTGCTCTTATGTTGGCAGGATAATGGTCTGATTGGAGCAGGGATGGATTTGAACTCACACTTTAATTTGTTTCTTTTCTTGGTAAATTACCCCCGATCACGATCATGTCTCGTCACAGATATCCCGCTGTGGAACTAAGTCTCATCGTTTGGACGCCGTTTCTGATGCCGAAAAATCCAGGAATTTCAGAAGGGTTTCTTTTCTGCTCTCAATTATCGCGCCAACCCCCTGACAATTACATTTTCTCATGCTGCAGAGATGTTAAATCACCAGCACAGTTTCTGAGGCCCCTGCGTCCATTAGACCTTTAGCGGTTTTCACGTGTTATGACAGCAACCCCGTGTAATGTCAATACTGTGCTGTTACACTGGTAATTAGAGGGGTGGTTGTACAAGGAAAGACTTCCTCAGCCGCTGAAGCACTAAATTTGCCACACCAGTTGGAATTAGACGGAAGGCCTCGGAGGGAGATGATGATGCAGATTTTCCCTCTTAGATGTAATTCTGCCTAATTGCAAAAGTAGTCAAAATCTCCTCCTTTTTGACCTTTAGCAAAAGGGAAGGCTTTATAAAACACAGACAAGCTGACCTTTTCTCCACTCTTTCTGTTTCCTTCCACCTTTGTTGCAGGAGTGAGCCCTGGGCTGGATGGGACCCACCATGCCCCCCAGTAAGAAGGCCCAGAGCCCCAGCAGCGGGGCCAGCGCTTCGCAGGGCATGAGCCCGCCCTACCGGCAGGGCGACCCCGCCACGGCGGCGTCCGAGGCCGAGGCGGCCGACCTCTCGCTCTCCCTGTCCGCCTCCTTCTCCAAAGCCGAGGACGAGGAGCTCACCAGCCTCTCCTGGCTCCACGAGAGCACCGACCTCCTCAACAGCTTCAGCCACTCCGGGCTGCGTAGCGTCTCCCCTCTGCAGGATCCCGACAGTCAGCATCCACGCTCGCCTTCCTCCTCATCGCCGTCCCCGGACGACGCGTTGCTCGGCGACGCGCACTCGGCGTACGACCTGGCGACGGGGGCCAACCGGAAACCGCCATACTCCTTCAGCTGCCTGATCTTCATGGCCATTGAGGACGCGCCCAACAAGCGGCTGCCGGTGAAGGACATCTACGGCTGGATTCTGGAGCACTTCCCTTACTTTGCGAACGCTCCGACGGGCTGGAAGAACTCGGTGCGGCACAATCTGTCGCTCAACAAGTGTTTCAAGAAGGTGGACAAAGATCGCAGTCAGGTAAAGGAATCAACAATCCTTTATGCACAGGTCCAGATTAAAACCTTGGGTGTGTTTATTACGCTTTAATTCAGTAAACTAAAATGATGTGACGGTTTTGACGTTACAGGTGACTTCTCAGATTTAAAAAAAATGTTTTTTGTAAAAGTAGACAGACAATATTAATACATATGTTGGGAAAGTGAGCAGAAATGTTCCAAATACGCTGAACTGAGATGCAAACTCTTTTTCAGAAAAGTCACATTTATTTTTACAGCACATTTCAGCAAAAGATCAGAATGCTTTACACCATAACATAATTATGAAAGAAACAATAAATATTTGTGATTTTTCAAACCCCATAATCAAAATCATATACATACATGCATATTTTGATCAGTGTTCCAATTATTATGACTCAAAGGCAACTCTAAGCAGGCAAGTTAAGCCTTGTTTTGGTTGTTCTGGAAGTTTGTTCCGGATTTGTGAATGCTGCTTCTCCAAGTTTGGTACTGGGGATGCAGAGCAGACCAGAACCAGAAGACCCGAGAGGTCTGGAACGTTGATGCAACAGCTGCAGATCTTTAAAGCTGCTGGGCCATTCAGTCATTTATATGTGGAAGTATGTTAAAGTATTTTACGAAGAATATTAGAACTGGGCTGATGTACTTGTTCTTCCTGGTTTTAGTCAGAACTAGATCAGCAGCTTTCAGAATCAGATGCAGCTGTCTAATTAACTGTCCATACAGACAAAAAAAAGTCCTATGCAGTGGCTTAATAACATTATTGCTTTTTAATAGAATTAATAATTCTTAAACATTTCAACATATTGTCATGTCACATCAAATTTATTTTATTTGGATTGTATATGTTAGACCAACACCGTAGTAGCAGATTATTGGAAAGTTGAAGGCAAATCAAACATACCTTTCTCAAAGTGTTTGAATTAAACATTTGAAATGTGGCACTTTTATCACTTTGATACCCATTTAAAAAAAACCTGAAAAGAAGAATGAAAGAAGAATATCCCGGACGAGCCCCCGGTTTGTTTCGTCCAGGCTCTAGATCATAACAAATAAAGGGAAGCAACGTATAGAATAATTTAAAAACTGATGTATTTACCCAATATCATGGCTGGCTGGAGAAAAAAGGGAAAGAGAGGGAGCATGTGATGGGAACAAGTGGTGGATCTTAAACTTGATCTGAAGCTCCTCTGGAGACACTGACCAGCTGCCTCCAGTTCCAAAAAGCACAAATTAGGAGCTCTGAAACACAGATATGTTACAGAGAGGCTCAGAGAAAAGGCAGTGGGCCAGTCAGATGACACCAGTTTTAGTAATTTTGTGTTTTTAGAACAAAAAAGGTGATTTTGTCTTGCATGCTAAACTCTTGTTCCATTCTCTATGAAGCATGATGGGAGCTCCATCTTTTTTTCTGCAAAGGTTTTATCATTTTTCTTAATAAAATTAAATGGGGGTCTTTAAAAATGACAACATTTCTGAAAAAAATGGGGTTTTTTAATGGTCATGTAATGTTTGTGACTCTAAACGAGTCTAATTCAGCTGGATTGGAGGATCGCAAAGGTTGCAGATCCCTGGTTTGAATCAAAGCACATTCATATTAGAACGGCCTAGTCAAAGTTCAGAGTTAAATCCAGTTGAGAATCATAGTAGAAAGGGTAACAGTAACGCTCTTTCTATAAAGTGCATAAACAATTGTGCACTACTTTGTTTTCATCTACTAACTTGTATGCAACTTGAGGCTGTAACGCGACACAATATGATACAGAGCAAAGAAAAACTCTCCATCTTGGAGTCGAATACAGAAACAAAAATACTTGGAGGTCATCTTAACCTTCCTGCTGCCTGGTCCACCCTCCCCCTGCTGGACAGCAGAGGCGACAACAACGTTCATCAAGTGAAATCTTGTGAGGGGAAGAAAGGAAAAAAAATTAAATACAATAAGAATTAAGTAGTTGATGAAAGCCATCTTGCTTCAAATATTCACTCTAATTACAAGCACAGTCATCGATTAACAATTTCAGTTTCATAAAACAACCCTAGCCCATAATCACTCCATCATGTGCGGTTAGACCTCATTTCACAGCCAGACGGCTATCAGCCGCTCGCAGACACATTCAACGTGAAGTCAAACACATTCTGTATTTTGTCTACAGCTGTACCAGAATCGGCCTTATCAATAGTTGATGATCTCCGCTTTCATAGTTCTCTTTCACTCCGACGTTCTGTGCCTCCCCGGTGGGAAGAGCGTTTCGCTTTTGATTTAAGTCTTGATGCAGCCCTTTAATACTGGCTTTCCCGAGCAGATTTTTTTTTTTCTGTTTTTTTTTTTTTTTTTTTTGTGCTCAGGGTAAACTGGGAGCGAATCCCTCTCTCAATTAGTGCTAAATTAATACCGGAGGATTTAATAACACAGATGCCAGCAGCCTTTAGATCCTGTCCTGCCCTAGGGGTTGTTAAGCAGGGTTGGTGGGGGGTTGGTTGGTCGGTGGCGGCGAACGACAAGAATCAGTGTTCACGCTGATGGAGATTACACCAGAGGAGAGGCGACTGCTTCTGCTGTCTGGTTTCTTTGACCAGAATGGGATTTGAATCATTTGTATATATATATATAAATGTGTGTGTGGATAAACAAAATGGATGAAGGATGGCGAAAAGTGCACACGCCCTCGCTCTGTGCTGTCATCTGGCTCTTGACGACGACGGCCCAGAGTTTCTCTTGTATACATATCTCCATAGTAACAAGGTTGCAGTTGACATAAAAGTATGCTGTTGCTGTAGCAACCGGGAAAACTGATTTGGCTTTACCGACTTGTATATAAGTGTGTGTGTGTGTGTGTGTGTGTGTGTGGTTCAGAGGTGTTGAGTGGGGAGGAAAAAAGAAAAGTATATGTCCTCCTCTTATGTGTTTGTGCGCGGAGCAGCTTGTGGAGAGGTGATTCTGGCAAGGACGGCTCGTCTTGTCTTCCTGTCGCTGCTCTCTGCTTAAGACAGCGCACTCATTAACCCCTCAAACCCTTCCTCCCTCTCTGTCTGTCTTCTCTCTCTCTTTTTTTTCTTTTTTTTTTTTCTTGCACACACAGGACAACTCTGACATGCAAACAAACAAACACACGCGCACAACCCCTCTCCCCCGCCCAAAAAACACGCATGAGTGCGTAAAAGGGGCTCGAGCGTGCGAGCGCCGCGTCGGTGTGGAAATGAGGGCACATCTCTGCAGACTCTTACTCTACCTGCCAAGAGCCCGGGCTTTATCTGAAGCTGCAATTACAGAATCTCTGTAATTTCACTCAGACTCTTGCCCTTTTTTTTTTTACCAAAAGGTTTTCGCCGAGAATATCTACATGTGAATACACCTTTCTCTCTCTCTCTCTCTCTCTTTCTTCTTCTCTACCTGTTTATTTCCTTTGAACCGAGTTTGCAATTACAAGCTGTAAGATGTGATTCTGTTATACTGCATTGTGGGTTTTCTTTTTGTTTGTTTTTTTGTTTTTACTTCCTTCTCACTGTTGGAGGACAGCGAGGGAGTCGCCCGAGGGGTCGAGGTCAGGTTATGGTTATGAGGGACAAATCGAGATGGCGCTCACGAGGGGGGAAAGAGGATTCATGAAAACGGCACCAATTTAACATTTCCATCAATTTCCAGAGGCGGAGATTAATACGACGGTGGCCTATTTGTTCCAGTGGCTGTATTTCTGGGTCATACCCAGGCAGATGACAAGATGGGGGTCTGGTTTGGAATAAAGCTCGCCGTGCCGCGACGCGTTTCTGTGTGTGTGTGTGTGTGTGTGTGTGGCGAGTCAAAGTTGCGAGCGTGAGAGCGAGCGAGTCTCGCTGTTGCCATGGCTTTGTTTACAAACAGGATTCTTCTCCGCGCTGAATGACATGCCTTAACGGCAAGTGTTGTTGCCCTCAGTCTTGTGGATCAGTGCCGGGGATCAATGTGGTAACGGAGCGACGCACGCACACGCCCAAACACACATCGACGGAGTCAGCGATATATCTCTCAAAGCCTCTTATGAAATCACAGCAGAGAGAGGCAGTTTTGTAATCCGAGGCTCACTGTGAAGTCTCTCTGCGTCGCTCTTAAGTGTGTCACCCCCGAACTTAACCTCACCCTCGTTCAGGCGAGAGGCGCTCCTCGATGTTTTTACGTTTTAACGGTTGCAGCGTTTCAGGTGAGGGTAAAGTTGCCTGGTTATGCCTGGCCCCGTTTTCAGTCTTTGGATCATTTTCCAATCTTTAAACAATTCACATTTCTCTATAATAAGAAAACTAAATACATTCAAACATTTTTTTTTTAATCTGGCCTTTCTGCCTTCTTAGCCTTGCCTAGCAGGAGCAGAGGCGACGTCACACTGTGTGAAGCTGAAGAGACAGGATTTCACAAGGTTTATTTTTCATTTGGAATTTAAAGCTCGCTCGCCACATGTTAGAGATTAGGATGGGGTGTAACGGCACAACCTGTCCCCAATGAGACAATAACGGTCCACGAGAATGAGACGTCACTGTAGGATCTGTTTTCGGAGCTAGCAAGCACTTTAGAGTAAACGTTTTACAATTGGCCATCTGGCTTTTAAAAAAGTGCTTAGTCGGCATCCAGCTCGGAGAGGTGGGAGACACCGCATGACAAAATCACACTTTAATTTAATGCCGCTAGGCATCGGCGTCATTAGCATCATTAGCAGCTAACGGTAGGCTAGCGGCGATGTTCTTCCAGGGCTTCATGTCTAGTCTGGCACTTTATCACCGTTTGATTTGCACAAACAGTTTTAAAAACAATAGAACTGTGATGGTAGACTGTCAATGCAGCAATCGGCTAACATCTCTGTCTCATCCTCAAGATAAACAGTTAAAACTTCAGAGTCAGATGTTTGTTACAGAGAGACCGACTTCTCTTTGACGAAAACTTTACCGCGTTTCATTCTTGTGAAATCTCGACACAGCCAAACTGAAACATTGTGGTGTGTGCGCGTGTGTGTGTGCGTGTGTGTGTATTCC